CTCATTTACAACTGCGACCTGGCCAAGATAAAGCAAAGCAGTGCGATAAAAACAACAACACAGAGTTACATATGGGGTAAAACAAAACAAAGTCAAAAATACAACAGAAATACATATAATATACAGTGTGTGCAAATTTAGCAAGTTATGGAGGTAAGGCAATAAAATAGGCTATAGTGCAAAATAATTACAATTAGTATTAACACTGGAATGATAGATGTGCAAGAGATGATGTGCAAATAGAGATACTGGGGTACAAATGAGCAAAATAAATAACAATATAGGGATGAGGTAGTTGGGCGGGCTAATTTCAGATGGGCTGTGTACAGGTGCAGTGATCGGTAAGGTGCTCTGACAACTGATGCTTAAAGTTAGTGAGGGAGATAAGTGTCTCCAGCTTCAGAGATTTTTGCAATTTGTTCCAGTCATTGGCAGCAGAGAACTGGAAGGAATTGCGGCCAAAGGAGGTGTTGGCTTTGGGGATGACCAGTGAGATATACCCGCTGGAGCGCAGACTACGGGTGGGTGTTGCTATGGTGACCAATGAGCTAAGATAAGGCGGGGATTTGCCTAGCAGTGATTTATAGATGGCCTGGAGCCAGTGGGTTTGGCGATGAATATGTAGTGAGGACCAGCCAACAAGAGCGTACAGGTCACAGTGGTGGGTATTATATGGGGCTTTGGAGAAAAAACGGATGGCACTGTGATAGACTACATCCAATTTGCTGAGTAGAGTGTTGGAGGCTATTTTGTAAATGACATCGCCGAAATCAAGGATCGGTAGGATAGTCAGTTTTACGAGGGCATGTTTGGCAGCATGAGTGAAGGAGGCTTTGTTGCGAAATAGGAAACCGATTCTAGATTTAACTTTGGATTGGAGATTCTTAATGTGAGTCTGGAAGGAGAGTTTACAGTCTAACCAGACACCTAGATATTTGTAGTTGTCCACATACTCTAGGTCAGACCCGTCGAGAGTAGTGATTCTAGTCGGGTGGGCGGGTGCAAGCAGCGTTCGGTTGAAGAGCATGCATTTAGTTTTACTAGTGTTTAAGAGCAGTTGGAGGCTACTGAAGGAGTGTTGTATGGAATTGAAGCTCGTTTGGAGGTTTGTTAACACAGTGTCCAATGAAGGGCCAGATGTATACAAAATGGTGTCGTCTGCGTAGAGGTGGATCTGAGAGTTACCAGCAGCAAGAGCGACGTCATTGATATACACAGAGAAAAGAGTCGGCCCAAGAATTGAACCCTGTGGCACCCCCATAGAGACTGCCATAGGTCCAGACAACAGGCCCTCCGATTTGACACATTGAACTCTATCTGAGAAGTAGTTGGTGAACCAGGCGAGGCAGTCATTTGAGAAACCAAGGCTATTTAGTCTGCCAATAAGAATGTGGTGGTTGACAGAGTCGAAAGCCTTGGCCAGGTCAATGAAAACGGCTGCACAGTACTGTCTATTATCGATCGCGGTTATAATATCGTTTAGGACCTTGAGCGTGGCTGAAGTGCACCCATGACCAGCTCGGAAACCGGATTGCATAGCGGAGAAGGTACGGTGGGATTCGAAATGGTCGGTGATCTGTTTGTTGACTTGGCTTTCAAAAACTTTTGAAAGGCAGGGCAGGATGGATATGGGTCTGTAACAGTTTGGATCTAGAGTGTCACCCCCTTTGAAGAGGGGGATGACCGCGGCAGCTTTCCAATCTCTGGGGATCTCAGACGTTACGAAAGAGAGGTTGAACAGGCTAGTAATAGGGGTTGCGACAATTTCGGCGGCTAGTTTTAGAAAGAAAGGGTCCAGATTGTCTAGCCCAGATGATTTGTAGGGGTCCAGATTTTGCAGCTCTTTTAGAACATCAGCTGTCTGGATTTGTGTGAAGGAGAAGCGGGGGGGGCATGTGCAAGTTGCAGCGGAGGTTGCAGAGCTGGTGGCCGGGGTAGTGGTAGCCAGGTGGAAAGCATGGCCAGCCGTAGCAAAATGCTTGTTGAAATTCTCGATTATTGTAGATTTATCGGTGGTGATAGTGTTTCCTAGCCTCAGTGCAGTGGGCAGCTGGGAGGAAGTGCTCTTATTTTCCATGGACTTTACAGTGTCCCAAAACTTTTTGGAGTTAGTGCTACAGGATGCAAATTTCTGTTTGAAAAAGTTAGCCTTTGCTTTCCTAACTGCTTGTGTATATTGGTTCCTAACTTCCCTGAAAAGTTGCATATCGCGGGGGCTATTTGATGCTAATGCAGTACGCCACAGGATGTTTTTGTGCTGGTCAAGGGCAGTCAAGTCTGAGGAGAACCAGGGGCTATATCTGTTCTTAGTTCTGTATTTTTTGAATGGGGCATGTCTATTTAAGATGGAGAGGAAATTACTTTTAAAGAACAACCAGGCATCCTCTACTGACGGAATGAGATCTATATCCATCCAGGATACCTGGGCCAGGTCAATTAGGAAGGCCTGCTCGCTGAAGTGTTTTTGGGAGCGTTTGACAGTGATGAGGGGTGGTCGTTTGACCGCGGACCCGTTACGGACGCAGGCAATAAGGCAGTGATCGCTGAGATCCTGGTTGAAGACAGCGGAGGTGTATTTAGAGGGAAAGTTAGTCAGGATGATATCTATGAGGGTACCCATGTTTACGGATTTAGGGTTGTACCTGGTAGGTTCGTTGATAATTTGTGTGAGATTGAGGGCATCTAGTTTAGATTGTAGGATGGCCGGGGTGTTAAGCATATCCCAATTTAGGTCACCAAGCAGTATGGAACTCTGAGGATAGATGGGGGGCAATCAATTCACATATGGTGTCCAGGGCACAGCTGGGGGCTGAGGGGGGTCTGTAGCAAGCGGCAACAGTGAGAGATTTATTTCTGGAAAGGTGGATTTTTAGAAGTAGAAGCTCAAACTGTTTGGGCACAGACCTGGATAGTATGATGGAGCTCTGCAGGCTATCTCTACAGTAGATTGCAACTCCACCCCCTTTGGCAGTTCTATCTAGACGGAAAATGTTATAGTTGGGGATGGAAATTTCAGAATTTTTGGTGGCCTTCCTAAGCCAGGATTCAGACACTGCTAGAACATCAGGGTTGGCGGAGTGTGCTAACGCAGTGAATAACTCAAACTTAGGAAGGAGGCTTCTGATATTTATGTGCAGAAAACCAAGACTTTTACGGTTACAGAAGTCAACAAATGATAGCTCCTGGGGAGTAGGAGTGATACTGGGGGCTGCAGGGCCTGGGTTAGCCTCTACATCACCAGAGGAACAGAGGAGGACTAGAATAAGGATACGACTAAAGGCTTTAAGAACTGGTCTTCTAGTGCGTTGGGTACATAGAATAAAGGGGGCAGTTCTCCGGGCGTTGTAGAAAAGATTCAGGGCATTATGTACAGAAAAGGATATGGAAGGATATGAGTACAGTTCAGGTAACCCTAAGCGTTGGGTAACAATGAAAGAGATAGCGTCATTGGAGGCACCGATTGAGCCGGTCTCGGTGTGTATGGGGGGTGGAACAAAGGAACTATATGAGGCAGTTTGAGAGGGACTAGGGGTTCTACAGTGAAATTGTATAATAAGAACTAACCCAAACAGCAATAGGCAAGGCATAATTGACATGGGAGAGAGGCATAAAGCAGTCACAGGTGTTATTAGAGAGAGCTAAGACACAACTGGAAATAGCGATAACGTTTGGGCTAAGACTAAACAGAATAAACAGGACAGGGTACCGTGTAAAGGAACAGGTATCCTATAGGTATCCAAGGCCTGAGTGACAATGGCCAAAACAGATCTGCGACCAGTCTAATTCAGCAATTTAAAGCACCTACAGCAGTGACGCACACTAATGAGACGCACACTCTATGGTAACTATACAGTATATGGAAGAAGTCCCAACATGACATAATGTTGGCCTGTGTACCGCGCACGTGTAACTATCAATTCTTGACAATGGACAGTTACCACGTGTCACGGCAGAAAAAAACACAGAAGCGCCTGGCCGCAATTTCAGCAACCGGCTGGCTAGTGGACAGAGACGCACCTGTAGTGACTGCCATGTTTCCTTATGCTGTTGTTCCCATTCCCCTTTCCCCACGAATTTTGAATTGAAAACTGATATGGAATACATTTGAAGATTTTAAAAACTTCTGCTCCAGATTTCATTGGCACGCATGCGCACACACACACTCGCACACACACACACACACACAATACGTCCTGTGTCAATATGAGGGACCATAAGCCTACCACAGCCTCTGGGGCATTTACTTGGTCTCATTGCGCCCAGTTGACTATTATCACATAGCCTATGTTTGGAGCGCCATCTGCTGGTTCATACTGGCCAAGACAACTGGCCGTTGAAATTATAATTTTCAAAAATACTATACGCTTCTTTGATATTGATTAGTCTGTCGTTAGTACATTATATTGCTGCTCTCTGCTGTAATGGTAACGACATGTTATTTTAATTGGGGAGAGCATGCACAAGGCAGTCTATAATAGTTGTGATCCGACAAAGAATTAGGCCTAAACCTATTTATAAAAAACATTTCTTAAATTTTTTGTATTGATATATATTTTTTACTTGTAGGCTATGTCATATGACAGAAGAGGTCTGGCCACCCCTCTGAGCCTGGTTCATCTTTAGGTTTCTTCCTAAGGAGTTTATCCTGGCCACTGTGCTCCTGCTTATGTATTGCTTTCTCTTTGGGGTTTAGGCCAAATATATGTTAATTGCTTTGTGACAACTGCTGACGTAAAAAGATATTTATAAAATAAATGTGATTGATATGATGTTGCCTGTATTGTGTTTTTTCATTTTATTTAGCCAAGTGCACGTATTTATTTATATAGCCTAGCCTATATATAGTAGTATCTTTATTGGCGTTATGCCATAAAGAATCACTGGTCCAGATTGTCAGGCCATTGTGGAACGGGTTTACGCTCATTCTCGGGCGGCAGGAAGGCGGGCGAGACTATTATGTGCGAGACCGATTAACGGATCCGTACCCGGAAGTGGGTGGTTGAGTCACCGACTGGTCACCACAGATACTGCCTGCTGGGATGAGGCAAAAAACCGGAGAATCGCAGAGATTGATAGAAATCTGAGAAATCGAAAATCTCAGCCACAACTGATCACACTAAAACACACCGCGCTGCCGTATTATTAATTACCTTGTCATAAACGGTAGAACTAACAACACCTCGCCAAAATGATGGAAGAGATACCGGTAGATAGATTTCAGGTGCCTAGCGCTGTTCAGGCGGAGATGCAGCCGCTTGTAAGTGGGATGTTTTTGTCTAGGCTACAACTTGTGATGATAAATTAATGCATAGGCTAATACAGTCTGTTCCTATGTTGTTAGACTAGACTACTACATTTTTGACGCTATCAATTTTGCCTATAATGGATTGTTGAATTTAGATATTGGCCTGGTGTTATTTTGTTGCATTTTATTTTAGGTGTCTGATAAATGTAGAAAATGTCGCAATATTGTTAGGCAACCATAAGGTCAAGAGAGTGTGCCTGGCTTTATGGCGATGAATAGCGAATTTAAAGACAACCTTGATCAATATCCGTTTTTCAAGTGCTCGAGCTGCGTAGTGAGCATCGGTGATGCTTGGCGAAAACAACCATCCCAGCCTCCCAGAGCCATCCGCTCTAGGAACAAACAAATGTCATTGCAAAAATCGTTTTGTAGTGGATAGGCATGTATGTAACAGATCATGTTATTAATGAATTGTTTGATATTTCTGAACACTACAAAGCAATTGGGTAGCCTATCGTAGCGTGTAAGGCCTAGCCCCCCTTCGATTACTTCATCATGCGGAGACTGCGTGGAGCGGTACCCTCCACGGCAGCATATGGCGTTTCACTCTGAATCAAACCCGCTTGTTAGCATCTGATGCTGTAGGCATATAGTTAGTGCTGTGTCTCAGTAGACCATGTTAGTTTGCTGTATCGAGTTCATTTCTCAGGGCCATGTGGTAGCCTATAGTCCAGGGGTGGGCAATCATTTTGGCTCAAGGGCCACATCAAGATTTTAAAAAATCTGTGGAGGGCCACACATATTTTTTTCGGAGCAATTTCTTAATCAAAAGCAATTTGCGGCCCTGAAAAAGGGAAGTTATTTGAAAACGTATAGGTCCATTATAATTTCTACATACTTTCTATCTAGTTTTAGACATTCAAGAGTGGTCTTCCTTTTTTACTCAAACCTCCTGTGTATGTTGCCCACCCCTGCTATGGTCGAACGTATCTGGAATACCATGATTCAGCTAAAGGGTTTGTCTGTATCTGCAGTGGCGTAGCTTTTGTGAGTTGTGAGTGTAATGTGTATCATGGCAGTCAATTAATGGACTGTGTACAATTAAGATGTGACTACCTGACAACTTTTGATGTGTGTAATGTGCATATGTGTGTGAGTGAGAGCCAGAGAAGGAATCTCACATATATATTTTCTAATACAGTAGCAGTAGGCCTATTGTATTTACTAGCCTATACATAATGACAACGTCAAATAAACATCCCAGAACGTCAGTCGTGTGACACCAATCTCTCACTACTGTGATGCAATTTAGAACCTCTCTCGCCCCCCCCCCCCCAGGACCCGGCTTCGTCCACGGCTTCTTCTGAGGCAGACTCAGACACAAGGGAGGGCGAGCCAGTCACTATTAACTACAAGCCTTCTCCTCTGCAGATGAAGATAGGTGAGTGTAAGAGGGCTCAGCAGAACCTACTGCCTCTGTTTATTTCAGCACCTTGGACAGGGGTCACATGACCGGAGAGCAATACAAAGATGTAGAAGTGAGGAATACAAGGTACTGTAGAAGGGAGCAATACAATACAAATATGTTGTGGGGAGGAATACAAGATACTGTAAAAGGGAGCAATGCAAAGATGTGGGGAGCAATACAAGGTACTGTAGAAGGGAGCAATACAAGGTACTGTAGAAGGGAGCAATACAAAGATTTAGAGGAGTCAAGGCTTAAAAGGCATAACTATAAACACATTGACACACCTCATTGTGATGTCCAGAAAATGAAATGGTAAAAGAATGACTCAATTGAACCTGTCTTTGATGAGCAATCCCTCCTCATGATACCCTGTCAACAAATGTCCCCATAACATCTGGGATGAGGGAGGGAGTCACTGTTACTGTTGGATGGCTCTAGTCCCGCACCCCAGATATTTATTTCCCAAGCCCAGAAGGTCTGTTATGTCAAAACCTCAAACTAGCACGCTGCAGTCATTAGCCTCACTTGTGTACCCCATATTCCCCCCACATACAGTGCATTCGGAAAGTATTCAGACCTCTTGACTTTTTCCACATTTTGTTACGTTACAGCCTTATTCTAACATGGATTTTTTTTTAATCCTCATCAATTTAAACACAATACCGACAAAGTGAAAACAGGTTTTTAGAAAATGTTGCACATTTATGAAACATCAAAAATAGAAATACCTTATTTACAAAAGTATTCAGACCCTTTGCTATGAGACTCGAAATTGAGCTCAGGTGCAAAAAAGCACCTTAAGACTCTCAGACCATGGGAAACAAGATTCTCTTGTCTGATGAAACCAAGATTGAACTCTTTGGCCTGAATGCCAAGCGTCATGTCTGGAGGAACCCTTGCACCATCCCTACGGTGAAGCATGGTGGTGGCAGCATCATGCTGTGGGGATGTTTTTCAGCAGCAGGGACTGGGAGACTAGTCAGGATCGAGGGAAAGATGAATGGAGCAGAGTACAGAGAGATCCTTGATGAAAACCTGCTCCAGAGCGCTCAGGACCTCACACTGGGGCCAAGGTTCACCTTCCAACAGGACAACAACCCTAAGCACACAGCCAAGACAATGCAGGAGTGGCTTCGGGACAAGTCTCTGAATGTCCTTGACTGGCCCAGCCAGAGCCCGGACTTGAACCCGATCTAACATCTCTGGAGAGACCTGAAAATAGCTGTGCAGTGACGCTGCTCATCCAACCTGACAGAGCTTGAGAGGATCTGCAGAGAAGAATGGGAAAAACTCCCTAAATACAGGTGTGCCAAGCTTGTAGCATCATACACAAGAAGACTCGAGGCTGTAATCACTGCCAAAGGTGCTTCAACAAAGTACTGAGTAAAGGGTCTGAATACTTATGTAAATGTCATATTTCCATTTTTTTATTTTCAATACATTTGCAAACATTTCTAAAAACCTATTTTTGCTTTTTAATATGGAGTGTTGTGTGTAGATTAATGAGGGAAAAATCAATTTAATCAATTTTAGAATAAGGCTGTAACATAAAAAAATGTGGAAAAAGTCAAGGGGTCTGAATACTTCCGAATGCACTGTATGCTTGGGTGAGGCAACATGAAGATTTTAGAAAATGTATTTGAGTCTGTTCTGTCTTTTTTATGGAGAAAGTTTTCCCCACAAGTGTGACACATCACCCACAGATTAGGATACTATTATGCCTTTTTTAAATGTGAAGCCTCTGCCCTTTAGTTAGAAGGTAGCTAGCTAGCTAGCGTTTATGTTTTTCTATTTGGAACCACGCCTTGTAGGACTAGTAATGTGATTTGCTAAGATCTAATAATGACAAAATAATTTACTCCGTAAATTCACTCAAAGTTGACTCCGTAAGTTCGTTATGGCCAGAATTGAGTCGTTCTTGCACCAGGCGTGTATGTGCGTCATAGTCTGGGGATGTGGTTATGGCCCTGGCCTGTCATCTTTGACACAGTACTGACTAAAAACCAGATGACCAGTTGAATGGTGTCAGGAAACTGGTTATCTGAGAGCTGCCATGGCAGGATTGTGTCTGTGGCTCTCTATATTTGTCCATCCTCTGACGTCATCCTGTGATGTGCAGAGAAACAGCGAGAGCTGGCCAGGAAGGGATCACTGAAGAATGGCAATGCAGGAAGTCCAGTGAACCAGCAGCCCAAGAAGAACAATGTGATGGCCAGAACACGGTGAGAGCTGACCTCGGTCTTGACTAGGGCCTTCTCCATTTTGGCCCTTCATTCATTTTTTTTCTTCCTCCCTATGTCCCTCTTCACTGGTATCTTTAACCCCTCCTATTTATTTCACTCTCACTCACTCTCTTCCTCCTGGTCTGTTCTACCTCTTCCTTCTTGTGTACTCACTATCCTGCCCACCTCTATCGCTCCCCTCTCTCTTTCACTCACTCACTCACTCACTCACTCACTCACTCACTCACTCACTCACTCACTCACTCACTCACTCACTCACTCACTCACTCACTCCCTCTCTCCTCTCCACAGGCTGGTGGTGCCCAATAAGGGCTACTCCTCCTTAGACCAGAGCCCTGATGAGAAGCCCCTGGTGGCCCTAGATACAGACAGGTATGTGACAACATCGTACACACATAATGTCACATGTCCACCATCACCCTTTACTCTCAGACCTGCCAACATGGATACAGTATTTAGGTTATGGGCAGGTATGAAGTGAATGTAAATATAAGATCAACAGTGATGACATTAATCTATGCAAATGACCATCCACTTCCCTTTATGTTGCAGTGACGATGACTTCGACATGTCCAGATACTCCTCATCGGGATACTCCTCAGCCGAGGTGAGATGTGTGAGGGACCAGGTACCTATGCACTCTGGGTAACACTACTCAAGCACGGAACAGATACAACAGCCGACATAAGGAGAAACGAGACGAGACAAAACTAACCAGTTTTAGAATTTTGTGTTGTAGAACAGCTGACTGAAGAAGGGGCATTCAGATCAACAAGACGATACGTGTGGTTGCGACCGTTTCCACTGTGATGGTGCCTCTTTACAATGACTGACATACTTTGAAACAAAGCTGCCTCTGGTTGTAACAAGGTGTTGTAGCAAATGAGTATAATGAAATGCATGCACCAGAAACAGGGTGGACTTTCGTGACTTGTCAGAGAAATGTCAGCAAGTTAGACTAGCTAACTGCAGCCAAATTGCTAGCTAGCTGTCTGGTTGGCTAGCCAGCTAACTGCTTGGCTAAACACAGAACGTCTGCACACAGTTAAATGGACCCGTCTCTTCTTTAGCTAAGATTTGACATATTGAATCTTGGAAACTCCAGCAGCCGACATGATACGTTCTAAAACTAGATCAAGCAAACCTCTTTCTAAAACTGCATAAAAACCGTCTTGTCTCGTCTCGGCTGTTGTATCTGTACTGGGCTTTACAGTCATGCCTAGCCATTGCCACTCATCCCCCACCACACTCACAATCTTCATGTTCTCTCCCTTCACAAACCTCATTACAGTAAATGCGGATTACTGTTGGATAAAATCTAATTCTTAAAACCACTTACATTACGTATTTTAGCCTTATGTTTTTATCATTGAACCATTTAGCTACTGTACCAAGAATGTCTCCAAAAGCCTGATATGTTCGCTGAAGTAAGTAGACTTCAATAACTTAAGATAAACCATAGTGATTATGGCTTTCACAGTGTAACAATATGGCTAGCCTTCAGTTACATGGGTACTCCTTGAAGACTCTACTTATCTGAGGAGACTACACATCTGGGAGGAGACACGCTAGTCTAGGCCTCTCTGATGCCTCCTCCTGGTCATTATTGTGTAATACAAGTGAAAATAAAAACAAAGTCAGTTGATTAAAAAATAAGGGGGGTAGGCGATGGTCAGGCATGTTACTAAGGGGTGTAGGAGATGGTCAGGCATGTTACTAAGGGGTGTAGGAGATGGTCAGGCATGTTACTAAGGGGTGTAGGGGATGGTCAGTCATGTTACTAGGGGCTTTCACTGTGTAACAATATGACTAGCCTTTAGTTACATGGGTACTCCTTGAAGACTCTACTTAATAGCCTTCATAAGTCTATGGTAGCATTTCTGCAGCCCCAGTAATGTAAGTGACATTCCCCTACGACCCCTAGTAACATGACTGACCATCCCCTACGACCCCTAGTAACATGACTGACCATCCCCTACACCCCCTAGTAACATGACTGACCATCCCCTACGACCCCTAGTAACATGACTGACCATCCCCTACGACCCCTAGTAACATGACTGACCATCCCCTACGACCCCTAGTAACATGACTGACCATCCCCTACGACCCCTAGTAACATGACTGACCATCCCCTACACCCCTTAGTAACATGACTGACCATCCCCTACACCCCCTAGTAACATGACTGACCATCCCCTACACCCCTTAGTAACATGACTGACCATGCCCTACGACCCCTAGTAACATGACTGACCATCCCCTACGACCCCTAGTAACATGACTGACCATCCCCTACACCCCTTAGTAACATGACTGACCATCCCCTACACCCCCTAGTAACATGACTGACCATCCCCTACACCCCTTAGTAACATGACTGACCATGCCCTACGACCCCTAGTAACATGACTGACCATCCCCTGCATCCCCTAGTAACATGTCCATATGTCCACCCTCACAGCAAATCAACCAGGACCTGAATATCCAGCTGTTGAAGGATGGTTACCGGCTGGACGAGATCCCTGACGATGAAGACCTGGACCTGATCCTGCCCAAGTCTGTCAACCCCACATGCATGTGCTGCCAAGCCACCTCCTCTACCGCCTGTCAAATCCAGTAGCCCACACATCTGCCGTGAGTTTACTCTGCAATTAGAGCGGTGACAGAGAGCAATGATAGAATATGATAATTATATGAAAACATATAATCAACTTATCGGGTGGAAAGTTAAATGTAAAAATAAAAAATAAAAAATTAAGAAAAATTAAGACAAAAACACAAAAATGTTAAAATACGATTAACAGTTATTACTTCCTCCTATGGTAGGACATGCACTTCTGTTTGTGTTTGAGATCTGGGAGGAGACACACTAGTCTAGGCCTCTCTGATGCCTCCCCCTGGCCAATATTGTGTAATACAAGTGAAAATAAAAACAAGGTCATTTGATTAAAAAAAATATTTTCATGTCCCTAAAGAATAGGAAATATTATCTTAACTGCTGGTGATAAAGCTGCTCTGCTTACTTGACTTCAAGGTCATATTTATTGCGTTTTATTTAGTTAATATTTTTAGTTATATACTTTTTATTTGAAGGATCTGTATGATTGTTTGTACTGGGGTGTGTTGTAAAGATTAATACCTGGTACTGAATATCTGGTACTGTAATTTGGTACTGAAAGCAGGGTTGCGTAGCACCGGCCTGGTCCATGGACTCATTGCTCTGTTTCTTATTGTACTGGTTGGAGGTATTTATGGTTTTGGTTTTTAGGGATGAATGTATTGCAAAGGGATGACATGCATGATGAGCCCCGACTGTAAATGGATTGGGAAATGTATCTGAATTGGCTGTATGTTCCCACATCTTACTACTGCACACTGCTATTTTGTCCAGTCTTCATTTATCACTTTTGTGTCTTATTCTTACACATTTGAATTTATTTGGGTTCTAAGTTAATATGTGTACCCTCCTTAAGGTGATTGCTAATCTGCAATGACCCTTATTCAAGAGGATGATACAGCACTTTGTATCTTCTACAACACAATGCTTTTCTAGTTAGCTTACACAATTCACCCCCATAGAGGCCAAAGGGAACAAGTGGTTTTGTTAAGTAAAAGTATAAGCTGACTTTAGATAGCTTTTTAGATACCGCCTGTTGACATCCTACTGTGACATCCTACCATGCCTCTCCCACAATGTGTCTAACTAACCACTCCCCTATACCATCCTGCTATCTTGATTGGCACAATCATTCTAAATAGTGTCAATAGAGCAGACACACAGCAGGGGTGGTGTGCAGTTTATTTTCCTCGTGATTGGTTGGAAAGTGATCTAGGGATCATAAGTATCATTAACTTTGAGTACTAATCCCTCACCGAGTCCTTCACTCAAACACCTCTCAGAGTTGATTTGTGATTAGAGTATGCCTGAAAGGAAAGAATATTAAAACAAAATGTGTATGTTTATTGCCAGTCTCATGACCTAATGTATTTTAAAGAGATTTGCAGAATGATTGTATGCATTTATTTTTTACATTTAGACACAGGTGATTATTATTTGTTTTACTATTGTGTTCTCATGTAGACACTTCCATTCTAGTATTTAACAATGTTACTGTCCTGTGTAGTGTATGATATCAATAAACACAAAGCCAACTGAACCTTATTGGGGTGTCTACTGCGTACTGGGGCATTGTTCTAAATGCACTTCTGTAGCCAGGTGCATTGATAATGTAGCAAAAACTATCTCGCAGGGTGACGGCAGGTACTAAGTTCATTAGCAGTCAAACAATGAACATGTAATACATTGTTGAAATAAAAACGCCTGCATGCTAACGGACTGTATTTAGCTATATAAAAAATCGATATGGGGGAAACATTTTTGATTTGATCAGCCTCGGCCTACAAAATGATGATACCATCTTGGCTCCCTATTAAATGATGCAACCTCACATAGATCATACCGATGTACAAAGATAATTGTTTTAATGTTAAAAGTATCTGACATAATTAAGTACACAGGTATTTACAGTGAGCAATACTATCATAAATTAGTTATCCACAGGTTGACAGATGGAGCTTCAGACATTCAGAAAATTAGAACAACTTCAAAACATCCAAGAATGCTGAGCATGAATTCAATCTGAAAGGCACAAAGTATTACACAATCCCCTATACAAATACAAAATAATGTACAAAGTTCAAAGAATTTTGCAATACTGCAAATGTTGTAATAGTAATCTAAGCTGCAACACACAACTTTACATTCTATTTGGATAGTTTCACTTGGCAATTTGACACCAATCTCAGTTTGATGAGTACCCCATCTGTGACTTGAACACTAATTTCACTGCACTGCTTTGTGTTATAACATAACCATCATTTAGGCAATTATTTATCAACTACTAGCACACACACACACACATGACTACCAAGGTGATTGATACTATTACATTATGGAGCACTTTTCTACATAAGGCCTCTCATTGTCTGGGAGTGTAAAAACAAAACAAATGTCTAAATAAAAAAACATGATATACTTCACATATATTATTACATTGCTGCTAGTATTCCTTGTAGAAAGAGAAAATGAAATATTATGCAAAAAAGGTGAATGGCTCTATGATTTATACCACTATTCACATTCCAGTGATAATATTGCTCACACCACTAGGGGTCACTAGAGACCAGCTATTACCAAACAGAAAACAAACAGGGTCATGTTCAATAGGGCACTGGGCCCACAGTGGCAAATAATTTTCATAACATTTTGCAACAGACAAAAATTAGTGTTTGTTATTGGGTAGATAAAGTAACTAGCCTACTTCCACCTCCCTGTAGTATATGTTGGTTGTGTGTGTCTCACACCTCAGTAGGGCTCTGGTCTCCAGAGTCGGAGGAGGAGGAGAAGGAGGCGGAGGAGCGGCTTCTTCTGACTGCGGTGCCCTGAAGCATGCTGGGATGAAAGCCTGCATGGCGGCGGGCATGTTTGGTCAGATGATCACTCCTCATAAAACACTTGTCACATAGCGGGCAGGTGAAGCGCTTCTCCCCTGTATGTGTGCGGTAGTGGCGCGTCAACTCGTCTGAACGCGAAAACCTCTTAGTGCAGTCTGGCCAGGTACACTGGAATGGCCTTTCACCTGGAGAACCATACCCATCAAGAGGACAAAGAGAAGGAAGAGAGAATAAGTGGAGTCATTCTGAGGACTCAATGACAGAATGAAGGTCAACATTTTTCATAATAAATAAAATTGGCCAACATTCCATTCTACAGGTGTGCAATTGAGTGAAAATGTGGGTTTTGAGACATCACTTACCATTAAGCACGTAAGAGCTTTTATAATATTGTATTCTTATAACAAGGCTATATAACAATATGTTCTCTAGGTATCAACACGTCTACTCACTCAAAATGGTAGCTATGTCAGGAACATTATAATATTTTTATAAAATGATCTTAAGGGAATTCTACATGCTCATTTGTACTACAAATAGGCCTAATTTATCCAAGTGTTGAATTCCTTCATGACCACGTCTCCTGTCTACAACAGAATATGAGTGAAGTGAAATATGTGACGTAAGAGGAAGGGGCGTCGCAGGGTTACCAAGGACAACACGTGGCTTGAGTGGCTTTATTACAAGAATATATCCAGGCTACACATTAAACATAGGTAACAGGTCCTTACCACTTGGTTGAAATGGTAGGCTATAGACGGGTTGGTTGATTAGCAACAAAACTGACGTGTGCGCAACTATGGGGCAAAACAGACAGGGTTTGCTTATCCAAATGTTTATTGAAAACATTAATACATTTGAACAATGAGGACTTGTTGTCTCTCAAATACATCGTTACAGTTGTTGGTATTATCAATGCATAGTCACTTTACCCCTACATACATGTACATATTACCAACACTAACCCTGCACATTGACTCAGTACCGGTACCCCTTGTATATAGCCTCGTTATTGTTATTGTGTTACAATTTTTCCTTTAGTTTATTTAGCAAATGTTTCTTACTTACTTTTTTAAAACTCTGCATTGTTGTTTAAGGGCTCGTAAGTAAGCATTTCAAGGTAAGGTCTACACTTGTTGTATTCGGCGCATGTGACAATTTCTATATATATATATATTAATATAAAAATAAATCAAATGTACAAATAAAAAGCTAGCAAATGTTAGCCACATTAGCATAACCATGAAACCAGTCAAAACAACTCAAACCAAGACATGGTATCAATAACAATATACAAAGAGCTGAAACGAGCCACGTACGATTCCGCACGATAGCTTTTTGTCATTGTTGCTAGCTATCTGACCGTTCAGAATCATAACAACGCACGCCTTCGGGCCACATCGATGAGTGCGCGTCATCTTCGTGACGTTGTCAGCCGCCCGTCTATAATGCCGCGTTCACGTTCTAGTCGGAACTCTTACAATTTCCGACTTGCTAACTGGTTGAACGCGGCACGTGTAGAACTACAACCTATTAGCAAGTCGGAAATCTCTTGAGTTTTATCAGTATATTCGGCTCTTTTTACTGTCATATTCGAAAATACTAAATTAGTATCGAAGTAGACATACAAGACTACAAGTCCTTGCAAGTCCCAAAACCACTAGGTTTTATGGGTATTTTAACACCTCCACTGTGGCCTATCTACATGTCTAGGAAGTCGGTTTCTGTACTACTATGCACACTATGTTCTTATTTCTTGCTCGGCAGTACGTGTCAACCATAGAGAGAGATAGAGGACTCATCTTTGTATCTGTGCCATTATAGCATCTGTGACAGTATGCGCAGCGCCATTGACGCAATCTCCACTTTGAAGTAGTCAATTTCCTTCTTCATGATTGGCTGATCCCTCCTTATGACCCGGTTGGACATGACTCCAACAGGGTCATCGAGAGGGATCAGCCAATGAAGTTGGAAGTCCCACCCTGTTGGTTAAAGAGGTGGAAGCCCTCAATGGCGCTGCCCATGCTAATCCTGCATTTTGGCCACTAGAGGCCTCTATGATTCTAGTGTCAACAAGAATCGCGGCGCCCTTTGCGCGCACCCCTCTCTGTCCATGGACACACCTCCGCATTCAAAACACACAGGCAGACAGTTCCTGTATAATTTGAGTTATGTACAACACGAACACATCCTACAGAGCGTACGCACGATGGTTATCTAGATTCTAGAATACCCTAAATCGAATTGTCTTTAGACCAAACTATGAGAGCCATATAATTTTGCAATATTCTGGTCAAAGTTATGTTCTCAAAATAATCTCTGCACTAGTGTGGGCCTACAGAATGACACGGTAGCTAGGCTATATACCAGTATAGACTATCTAGTTTACTTCTGTATGTAGCCTAACCTTTACAACACTTACCAGTGTGCACTCTAAGGTGGGCTTTAAGGTGGGAAGACTTGCCATACATCTTCCCACAGCCGCTGAACGGGCAACAATGTCTCTTCTCTGAGGACACGTGCACAATCACAGCCTTCTTGTTCCGTGACTGCTTTTCTGCCAAGTTCTGTTGCGCCCTTGCAGTGCCCCGACTGTCCCCGCTCACCCTGTGACCACACAGGTGTCCGTTAACCATGCTTTTGGCATCACTTTGGCCCAGACATCTACTACCCCCACCACATGTCTCACTGCGTGTGTTCTGGTTACATTTGTTCAGGTCGAGCAAAATCATCGCCACCATTAACAAAGTCCTGTTTTCTTGGTTCTCTTTCGACATGTCCTCTTTCGGTTTGGCATCGGGACAGCGGTCCTCCGGTGGCCGGCGGTTAGAGATGGAGACTAAACACTCAGCAGCGAGATCAACCTCCGACATTGCCGAAGAACTCTGGAAAAAAATCAGTTCTCCGAACTGATGCTGCTATTTTCGCCTTTGATAAAACGACTCTCCTTGTAATTTATCAGGTTGGCTATCTTCACATCACAGGGATTTCAGGAAACGTGTTTTTTAGTTCCACATGTCGTCTTTGTGTGTCTCAAATAATACTATTTTACAGAAACGGATCAAATAACTTTAAAAGTATTGCTGTTTGTTTTACTCCTCTGTAGCCTGTGAAGGATAAATACGGTCCTGGAATAGTGTTGTAGGTTCTACTGGTTTCTTTCTCTCCTCACAAATGCGTCAACTTGTCCTATTTTACTGCATGAAGCTGTTCACCAACTCCAAGAAACAAATTCGCGGAATCCCAGGGAGTCATAATAAAAACAGGGCTGCAATTGGCTACGAGTAGAGGTGACGTATTTTTTGTATACACTACTTGGAATAGCTCGTTCATATTCATTGATGGATGGGATGGTGGGCCAATCACTGGATGAACAATGTGAAAAGGGGGACTGTCTCTGTCATCCCACACATTATTGTTGACCAGACTGCGCGAGTGTTCTTTTTCAAGGGTTAAGGCAAGGCACATTGCAACATAATTCCTCGAGCCAATTTCTGTAACACATTTCTTCAGCACCGAACACGTCTCTTTTAGAAAAACGATTATTTCCCCCACTGAAGTATACGTTTTTTTTTCTATCCAGTGTAGCCTATAGCCTAACATGTCAATTGAGTTTAGCACAAAACAAGGTCAAAACTATCTCGGATGTCATGGATCTAGTCAGTTCTTGCATCAAGAGCGCTGGATTTCCCAAATAGATGCCACTTTTTATGAAGCATTTATGGATTACATTCTTCAAGAGTCAATGGGAAAATATGAAGAATTGAAAATACTGTAGCGAATTCGATGGGTAGCCCCAATCAGGACTTGAACCTGGGTCCTGCTACTGTCAAGCCAACACCTTAACTGTTATGCCAAGAGGCCCGAACCTCTTCACGAAGTCGCTAGGTGTTGTCTTAAGGTCACTACAATACTATTGAACAGCTTCCCAAATACCAGACTGTAGCCTACTTTTAACTTTTGGGGTTATTTTCTTAGCCCAGGGTTATAGACTGAGTGTACAAAACATTAGGAACACATGCTCTTTCAATGACAGACTGACCAGGTGAAAGCTATGTCCCTTAAAGCAAAAGGGGGTGCAACTCAATATTAGGAGGTGCTCATGATGTTTTGTTCACTCAGCCTAATAATCATTCTATGCTAATTTTATTTACCAACACAAGCTATAGGCTACATGTGAATCTACTAACCCTACATAGCCTATTATTATAGCCACAGCGTGTCTTCATGATGTTTCAGCGGTTTGTCATTTTACACTCAAGGGAACTCACTCATTTGAAACAATGTTGCCCTACTTGAGTTCCTGATAATACATTTATCTGTTACAATTCTGGCATACCCAACTGCAACTGAGGTATGCATGCAAATGCATACATAGCCTGAAGTTCAGGTCCTGAGAGGTAGGAGAAATCAGTCAATGAGGCTGCTTGTAACAAGAGCCTCTCCAAATGTAAACCCCTTTCTCCGAGCTCACCAGGACACAGTTCGAAGAAAAAATAAACCGTGTTGCCACTTGTCAAGAGAGAATAGGTAGCTACAGTCCCCACCATGATATCCACGTGCCTGATTTAATTAGGCTAGTGGTCTATTCCATTCTATTCTACCCCAACCCGGTTAGACTATGCCTAGGACCTAGCCTAATATCATAATTAAATTAGGCTATAGCCCCACCCCAACACACCCATGTCTGGTGGCCTTACTAGGCTACCAGGAATATAGGCTATACGAGTGTAAGAAGATGTCGTGACCATAGGCTATTGCCTGAATCTACAGTCTGCACTGGAATTCTCCACTGCCCATAAACAAGTCCTTGGATGTCTGTTATTGCCGCTACACCCTTTACCGACAGTATATCACGTTGTTACGCTCTAACATGTTATTCTAACCAACACCGCCTCCCTGTGTGTGTCCACGTGCGACTGTAGAACAGAATGTTCTCTTCCGTGAACTGAGAATGAACTCGTGCGCCATAGCAGTTAAGAGGGCCAAGTTCCTCGAAAATTAGGCTGCAGCTATAGAGCTCCCCAGTTTGTAGTTCTAAAACCCTGAAATAAATTATCTCTGGTTCGTTTTGCCATCCCTACAGGAAAAATGAATGGGGAAAGAATAGGGTTTTGGAATAGGCTAAACACCGAAAATAAGGTCTGAGGTTAACACAGGTTTAGGAGATCTTATACGTTTTCTTATACGATATAATAGCAGTCAGTTAACATGACCTTTATGAATGATGAAGCCTTTGTGTTTTTTATTATTACATAAATTATTCAAAATTCACAAAAAGTGTAGTTAGTTGATAAATATTGTCTCATAAAAAAAAAACGTATAAGATCTCATAAGCCTCCTGTGTTTACCACATACCATATTTTCGGCCATTTTTAAAAACCCCTACAAAAACGCCATTGATTTTCCTCATAGGCTTTGTTCAACGAACCTTGGCGGAGTTAGTGCCTACAAAAAGACGCCATTACTATTTATCTCTATTGCCATGTCTCTTTGTTTTCATATAGGCCTATCTACAATCTATAGTAGTTGTCACAGGTAGCCTACGTTCAAAACAAACATATAGTCACGAGTTTTCACCTCTTATTTTTTACATTTTAGTAATTTAGCAGACACTCTTATCCAGAGTGACTTAAAGTAGTGAGTGCATACATTTCCATACTGTTTTGAGCTATAGTTTGTATCAGAGTTCGGCTATTGTTACATTGTATTTTTAAAATTAGGTTTTTAAGTTGGTTTCACATTGCCAAATGTCAAACGAACTAAAATGCCTAAACAAAAACATGTGTCCATGCAAGTCATTTGTTTATTGGACAAAAAATGCTCACCTTATATCCATTTATGATTATCATAAAGCATCTTCATATTGCTTTCGCTTTGGTCTTCCAACACCATGCTCGAGGAAACAGCGCAATAGCTGCTCTAACTGCGACATTAATAGGCTATATTCGGTAGCCTATATCCCTTGTATAGCCCCATTCTCCCCTAATCTGCATAAAATGCGCTCACAAATGCCCTGCTATTCACAGAATGTTTCAGGGATGTCAAGTTATGATGCTGCGTGCATTATTACATCAAATGCTCGCAGTCAAACAACCAATAATAATGCGCGACTCCGGTTCTTTTCCTGTGTTTGGTCCAGACTGCGTTCTCAACTGCAGCTGCTGTTCGAATTGAATTGGACCGAGATCACACTTTTTGAGCGAACCATGTGCGTTGTTTAGTGCGCTCCCAAGTGTGGAGAGTATTCACACCAGTCCAAAGGAACCGAACTACGGGGGTAAACGCACAAGAGTTCGGAAAAAACCGCACCAAAACAATGTGGTGTGAAAGCCCCCCTTACTTTGAGAACTCGTTGAATTATCGATGTGTGTGAATGTGCTCCTTTCAGTGAACCAGCAGTCAGCATCTGCTTGGACTGGTGTGAACTCTATCCGCACACGGGAGCGCACTAAACAATGCACCATGGTTTAGGGTGATCTCGGTCCGATTCCATTCGTAGGGTAGCATGGTGCGGTTTGCTGCAGGTGAGAACCCAGTCCAGACCAAAACCAGGAAAATAATCAGAGGCTCTCAGTATTATTGCTTGGTTGGTTGACTGCACAGTACCATCATTTGCCAGGATGTAACGTGATATCTCTGAACCATTCAGTGAGTAGCAGTTCATTTACAGTATGAACGCATGATCTGATGCAGATTAGGGGAGACGGGCTATACCGGGGATATAGGCTCAGTGGCGACCTGTCATTCAGTGTTCTGAGCACCACCTGTTTAGCTATATATATATATATATATACAGTGGGGAGAACAAGTATTTGATACACTGCCGATTTTGCAGGTTTTCCTACTTACAAAGCATGTAGAGGTCTGTAATATTTTATCATAGGTACACTTCAACTGTGAGAGACGGAATCTAAAACAAAAATCCAGAAAATCACATTGTATGATTTTAAAGTAATTAATTTGCATTTTATTGCATGAACATGCAACAACTGTTGGCGCAGTTATTAGAAAATGGAAGAAGTTCAAGATGACGGTCAATCACCCTCGGTCTGGGGCTCCATGCAAGATCTCACCTCGTGGGGCATCAATGATCATGAGGAAGGTGAGGAATCAGCCCAGAACTACACGGCAGGACCTGGTCAATGACCTGAAGAGAGCTGGGACCACAGTCTCAAAGAAAACCATCCCAGCATTGTGCAGGTCTACAATTTTATCCCTAATGTCCTTACACAGCTCTCTGGTCTTGGCCATTGTGGAGAGGTTGGAGTCTGTTTGATTCAGTGTGTGGACAGGTGTCTTTTATACAGGTAACGAGTTCAAACAGGTGCAGTTAATACAGGTAATGAGTGGAGAACAGGAGGGCTTCTTAAAGAAAAACTAACAGGTCTGTGAGAGCCGGAATTCTTACTGGTTGGTAGGTGATCAAATACTTACATCATGCAATAAAATGCAAATGAATTACTTAAAAATCATACAATGTGATTTTCTGGATTTTTGTTTTAGATTCCGTCTCTCACAGTTGAAGTGTACCTATGATAAAAATTACAGACCTCTACATGCTTTGTAAGTAGGAAAACCTGCAAAATCGGCAGTGTATCAAATACTTGTTTTCCCCACTGTATATATGTACGTGTCACGGTTTCGGCCGAGGCTGCTCCTCCTCCTTGTTCGGGCAGGCTTCGGCGGTCGTCGTCCCCGGAGTACTAGCTGCCACCGTTCGATGTTTCATGTTTGTTTGGTTTTGTCTGTTTGTACACCTGTCCCTTGTTAGTGTTTGATTTTGTTTCCTATTTAGTTATCGTGTGTTGGGTCAGGTGTTATGTGTGATTGTTTTTTGTCAAGCTGTTGCTCTCCGTATTTACTCTCGTGTTTTGTTGTTTTTCGAGAGTCCGCACTGTGTGCGCTATCGTCGTTTTACGCACTGTGTTTATTGTGCGTAATTTGTATTTTGCCTCCCGGTTGGGTTGGCTGTTCGCCTGTTTGATGCTGCTTTCGTTTACTAAAGTCTGTTCACGAATGCCCGTGTTTCCTGCGCTTGATTTCCACACCGCATCTACACTCAGCTACTGACAGTACGTTTGTTGCCTGTTTTGCATATTATTTTGGCATTAACATGTGTCACATATCAGTTTGCAAACAATGTAAAACATGTTCATTGAGTTAAATCCGCATACAAACATGGTCTCTTTGTTGCTTTCTTGAGTAAGCCAGCTCCAAAATGCAGGTGTTTCAGCATAGCTCAGGGCAGCCAGCAGAAATTATAGAGCGTAGGGGTTGGTAATCTTCTCTAGTTGCGCAGTGGTTGGCTCAGTGTTCTGTCACTCATGGAGACATTACGTCAGCGCAGAATCTACAGGGAGAGCTAGACAGTTCAAGCCCCCTTGGGTGCTGCCATAGATTTACATTAGAAGTGCCCATCGAAGAAGACTCAAGGTCATTG